TACAGTGAACCGTAAGTAATGAAGCTTCACTGTTTGAATTACTTTTTCTGCAAATAATTTTGCAGTATGAAAGTTCATGTTGATTCCCATCATTTCTCCATGGCTTGCACAGTCTTTTGAGTGGTTTGTAGCCATATTTTATTAATTGTTGAGCAGAGTGTTAACACTTTTTTTAATGATGAAACTGATGCATGAATCAGGTTTTGAGGAAGATCAGCATTATCATTTTATGAGATGATTGTCCTTGACATTTGTTATTGTGCTTGAATATTTTTGTTCCACTTTGTTTCCAGTTCTTCTAGAACCAATATTTGATCCCTGCTAATAATCTGGTCTAGATAACTGCATTTTATAAAAGCTGTACTGGCATCAAAGAAAGAAGGAAAGGTAATTGGTCATAAATGTGTAAATTTATTAATACGGAAATAATGAAACGCTCGGAATCACAATGTCAGTGTTGTGTAGGATTGAAGTTGGAAGTGAGTAAGATCACAATGGAATTGGAATCTGCCCTAAAAATTATAGAAATTTTGAAAGAAGAGCTGGGCAGTGCGGCCGCATTGTCTAGTGCTAATAAAAGTGTCATACGAAATAATGAAAATGGATCTCAAATATCTCCAAGTGAAAAAGAAACTGGATCCATATACAAAGAAATCAACAAAAGAAGATAACAGATAAGTTAAAAGACCATGAGGAAACATATGTAACAACAAGTAATCATTTTGAAATTTTATCTAACCTCAATGAGATTATTAAGTCTACTGAAGCAGCAAAAGAAGAAATTCTCAAACCAAGTAAAACTGTACAAAATAATATCGACAAAAGTAATTTTCAAGCAAGAGACAGTAAATACAAGGCTGATGCAGAAGGACAGATGATTAATAACATTTCAGTGATAATAAATGGTCTAGTAACATCTAATAACAGTAAAGTTCTGAACAGTGACATCTTACATTCATATGAGAGTGCTGAAACCGTTGAGGCTAATGCAAGGAATGAGAAAGAGGCTCCCAAGGAGAAAGTTGCTGATTCAGCAGCAAGTGCTTCAAAGAACAAAGGAAACCACACTATATTAATTATTGGAGACAGCCATGTAAGGAGATGTGCAAGTAAACTGAGAGAAAATCTTGATAAAACTTATAAGGTAATTGGAATTATAAAACCAGGAGCTGATTTATTTACCCTAAGTAATTCTGTAAAAGATACTATTTTAACCTTAGGAAAAAATGATCATCTTGTATTTAGTAGAGGTGCAAACAATATCTCAAAAAATAATTCTAAAATGGGACTAAGACACATTTTAAACTTTGTAAGTAACAATACTCATACTAATACTATTCTGTTAGGTATACCACATAGACACAACCTGGCAGATTGGTCTTGCATAAATAATGAGATAAATGCCTTTGATAGGAAACTGTTTAAAATCATGAAATGTCACAGTAATGAACTGTGACTTAGACACTTCTTTATAAGACCAGGTATGCATCTGAAGAGGAGAAGAAAAGAAGATATGCTTAAACATATAGCAGCAACCTGTGTGACAATTTCTCAATCTAATAAAAATTTGACCCCAATTTGCTTGCTCTGGAAGGAATCTGAAAATTATAATGCAAATTTACAAGCTAACAAGTTTCCAGCTATGAATGAGTCAGTAAAAACGACAGAGCAAAAAAATGAACCAGTACGGAAATCAAATGGACTAAAAAAACTACCAGGTATGAAAAATAAGGATTTGTTATGGTAAATACAAGTGCTCCAAAAAGAAATATTTCCTTAAACGGAGTAACCAAAAAAGAAAATGATACCAAATTCTATAATATTTGCCATCAGAACATTAGAGGTTTAAGGGGGAAAACAAATGAGCTATTAAGTCATGTACACCCAGCCTCCCCACACATATTTTGTTTTACAGAATATCACATGAATTTCTTGGACTTGCAACAGCTGTACATAAGATTCTTATAAACTAGGAGCAAACTATTGTAGAACCTTGTATGAAAAAGGAGTATGCATCTATCTATGCACAAGCTTGAATTTTGTAAGTATAGACCTAAAAAGTATTGTAAAGAAAAAGATTTTGAGGTATGTGCTGTTAAGTTAAACCTGAGCTCCAACAGACTTTGTATAATTACAATATATTGAGCTCTGACTGGAAACATTAATACATTCATAACAAAACTAGATTCAGTACTTAGAAACCTATATACCTCAACACAAGAATATATTATTTGTGGGGATATTAATATAAATTGCCTTCTTGATAGTGAAAAAAAAAAAACAAGTTAAGTACCTTATTGAGAACTTATAATTTAATAAGTATGATAAATTTTCCCACCGGAATTCAAGGAAATTCTGCTACAGCCATTGATAATATTTTCATCGATATTACTAGAAGGGAAAATTATTCTGTAAGGCCTATAATAAATGGATTGTCTGATCATGATGCACAATCCATAACATTTTAAAACAATAAACATGAGAACACATGCTAAACAATTCAAAATAATAAGGAAAATAAACAAACATATAATAAATTACTTTTTAATTAACCTAAGTCATGAAACACTGGACTCACCATTTTCTAGTGATGTTAATATAATGTTTTAACTCCTTTTTAGACACTTAATTGAAAATTTACTATTCCAGTCCCCCCCCAAAAAAAATTAAAATTTCAAATAAAATAAGTGATGAATTACTATAGGAATAATAATGTCCCGTAAACATAAAAGAATACTCTATATGGCCTGTAGAAACAGTAATAATTCAGAATTAAGAAGCTATTATAAATAATACTGTAAAATTTTATCTAAGGTCATTAAGGAAGCTAAAAAACTATAATATGATGATAAAATTAAAAAATTCCAAAAATAAAAATAAAACTACATGGGATAAAGTAAAATTAGAAACTAATAAGGGGCCAAATAATGAAAAAATATGCACTTTAAAGGTAGTGGAAAATGGATTAGAGAAAAGCAAGTAATCGCAGAAACCTTTAACAATTACCTTTTATCTGTAGCTGAAAATAAAAGGGCAAAAAATAAAATAATGCTAATGTTAGTTACCTTCCAGACACTACTCCCATTCAGCATTTAATGAAAACTTTTATAAATCCCTTTCCACATATTAAACTTAAATCTTTATCAACTAAGGAAGTTGAAAATATAATTAAATCTCTCAAAGCAATAAACTCTTATGGATATGATGAAATCTCCACTAAAGTATTAAGAATGGGTTCCCTTTTCATTAGCTCTCCTTTGACTCACATATGCAACAATTCATTATCACAAGGAATTTTCCCAGATCGTTTAAAATACTCAGAAATAAGACCGCTGTTTAAAAGTGGTGAAAAAACAAATATTTCCAACTATAGGCCTGTATCACTTTTAACTTTGTTCTCTTAGGTATTAGGAAAAGCTATGAGCATTCAGTTGATTGAGCACTTAAATAACAATAACATATTAGTGGAAGAACAGTTTGGTTTTAGAACAAAATCTTCAACAGGTGAGGCTATATACAAATTAGTGAATGAAGTCTGTAAGACCTTAAACAGCAAAAAATAGGAGGCATTTTTTGTGACTTGAAAAGGCCTTCGATTGCGTTAGTCATGAGGTTCTGTTGTCGAAATTGGAGTTCTGTGGGTTAAAAGGTAAAACTAAACTATGGCTTGAATCGTATTTCAGAAATAGGTATCAAAGGTTTTAATTACAAATATAAATCTTAATCTCAATGAATTTTCGACATGGGGCAAAATTAAACATGGTGTCCCGCAAGGTTCAATTCTGGGTCCATTGTTATTTCTCATTTATATAAACGATTTACCCAAAACTATAAATGATAAAACTGTACCTGTATTATTTGCAGATGATACTAATTTGTTAGTTAAAAGTTCAAACTATGATTATCTCTGTGTAAATATAAACAACGCTTTTCATAGTATAAATGAATGGTTCAAAGTAAATCAACTTTCTACAAATTTTGACAAAATCCACTACATTCAATTTACGGCTAGAAATAGTAACCCTAAATCGGAAATAAAAATAGAAGTTTTACATTTTGTGGAAATTAAAAGTGAATCAAGTTTGAAACCGTACATACAGATCCGCATGCAAAGCAGAACCTGTTTTTTAATGCTATTCATGTAATTGTTTCAGGCCTGTGACTCACCAGCACGAGACCTCAAGTGACTCGTCTGCCATAAGAGCAAGTAGCTGTTGCTTTGCAGTCATAGCAAGCAAGTTTCAGCATTTCTCTGACATCCATTTTGCTGCTCTATCATCCATGCTTGGCTCTTTCAAATAGCCTTTTCTGTTGAGGCTGTGCCACAAAAATCTGGTCATGTCAAGACTGAAGTGA